CCCTTCAGCTTGTGACCCAACAAGCCGTAACCAATTTCACTCCCCAATTCATCTATATGCAGAGAGTGTGGGCTCAGGAGACATTTCCCTATTTGAGGTGTATTACATACACTGACTTATCACAACGCTCAGTGCGGTCTGGGGAACTATATGGTACTCAATAGCCCATGTTTCGTGGTCAGTTGAAGCTGGAAATTACTCTTCTCTCTCTCTCTCTCTGACATACATGGAATACATCAAATATTTGGAATATATAGCAGACAAATACTTCAAACTGAAAAGACTACTTTTCCTAACTAACGAGTCGTTGCAACTTTACAAATTTCGTAGTTTAGTTCGCAAAAGTAACGAACTTGAGTTGAAACTATACACTTTTCATAGCTTTTCTTTCTTTCTTGTCTTCCTATATAATAATTTCACCACATTCGTAAATGCTATTAATTGCAATATTGCAATACAGTTTTACTAATTCACATTTTTGATATCTTATTTAAAATGTTATGAAAATAAAGTTGCAATAACACGTTAATTTGTACTCTAAATCTTTCAGCCAGTGCATCATGTATTAAGGTGTTAAGGGGTGATTAGGAAGGGTTTTTTTTTATTTTATACAAGAGTGTCTTCCTTGAATTTCCACCAGATTACATGAAGTTCGTTTCATTTCCCATGGATTTGACTGGTGTGGTGCCAAGAGGTTTTCTTCAATAAAAGCAAGTGTAAAATATTCCCATTTTGATAAAACTTGATGGAATGTGAGAAATGTTCAAGAGTCTCATCTCTCTCTTTATGTTCATTTCCTATTTCGCTGTCATTGCGACATGCAAACATAAATCTTGAGGTACTTTCGCGCGACTTGATATGTTTTCTCCCAGGATCTTGCCATAGGGAAGAAGAAGGGATTCTATACTGCCAAATTCTGCAGATTCACATTGTACAATGTATCTGTCAAAATTGACTACAGTGTGCTTGTTATCTGTCTAATTTCTTGCACTCTCCCACATTGCACAGTGTGTCTTAAGTAGACGGAGATAAAGTGAGATTCCTCTGGGCTTGCATGCTTCGCAATCTCGCTCTTCTCGTCCGCAATGCTCTGCATTTGCTCCACAATCTTCAGGACGTAGGAGATCACACAGGGTGGCGCTGTGGCATTTCTTCGATCTTAATTATCTCATCAAGCGGAGTGGCACGTTTTCGGGGATGTAAGGATGCGCGCAGGACCTCCAGAAGCCACCCTCTGGCTCTTGAGAGTTCAAACAACCATAAATACAACACGACCTGACAGTAATGCTCTTAAATAAAAGTAGATAAGCGTCTGAATAAGTGTCCAATGTAAATAAATAATTATATATACTCCACATAGTTGTATGAATGGATGGGCGGCAGTGGGTGGATGGGAGTGGGGAGAGACGAGAGGGAAATGGTACGGAAAAACATTCACTTCATCCACCACCCTTCGCCACCATCTAGAGTTCTCTTTCTCAAGTGATATTTGCAATATAAGAAAGTTCCACGAATGTTCGCGTTAATTTACTTCTGGAGGAGCGCAAAAAGACGTCCTGGGAGCGCGAACACCCCCACATGACGCCCACCCAGAAGCTCCGCGTCACTCCGAATCTCTCACTCTCTCTCTCCCTCACCTTCCGCCCATTTCTCCTCATACATATTAAATGCGAAAGTGTCTGGATGGGAATATTTCAGGCGAAGCACACGAGATAAGATTGAATTGAAGTATCATTCATTTGATATACACCCCCCTCACCCTTCGCCCCGCACCTTGTGCCATTTTTCCATGTAATTGTGGTGATATAAATTTATTTTAACACAACAACATAAATTACCCGAACAGCGAGAGTCCTTAATTTTGTCACTCTCTCTCTCACTCACTCCACATTTGTGACAATCCAAAAGTCCATCCAAGAGATAAGGAGTGATGGATCAGCAATAATTTATTACGCGCCTGATGGGCGATATTTAGGCACAAGCGACCATCTTCGATAGCATCGCGGTGAATCCTTTTCCGCGGTGCGCTCAATATGAAGTCATGATTTACCATCGCGCTCTCACCTGTTAAATTAATCATCAGTGGCACTCTTTCGCTGTGTTCACTGTAACAAAAAAAAATGATATTTTTGCTCTGGAAAATCCAAAAGTATATGATAAGAATACCATTTATGAAACATACACATTTCCTTAACAATTTACATTAGATTTGCCTTTTTTTCTCCACTACACTTTTCGTCTCACATTTCGCAAATGGTTTAGGTGAAATTTAACTCTCTGACAAAAGCTCCTTAAGAGCTTAAGAACCTTTTTTGTAAAACTTACAGTTAGCAAATCAACTCATTCATTTTCCATGCAAAATCCGCATGAATTTTTCCCGCAGTCATTTTGCAATAATTATGGAAAAATCGCGCACTGTACTTTTCTGCATTAACATATAAACTCAGCACCGAAAGAGTGAGAGGGAGAGAGAGATTCTGTTCGTCCTGCAAAAAGCTGATATACGTAATGAGAATAGATTTGGTAAACTTGCCAGAGACTCTATCTTTCCATATACTCACATTAAATGCGATTTGCTCAAGGATTCGGCTCCTTGGCAAAATCAAACGGTGCGAGGATCGGTGGCGTTTTTTGCAAGCTCACAATGCCAAGAGGATAAAGTTTGGCAGCCACAGTCATTTAGTGTGTTGGCCGTAAAAACAATTAATAGCAATTTAAACAATAGTTTTGCCATAAATCGCCATTCAGCGCCACGAATCTCGAGGGGGGAAATGGAAATGGAGTTTATATTGTGAAATGAATAAATTTGCATTTGCATGAATTTCGGGCATGAAATCGGAACAACTTGTGTGTGTTTGTGTGTGTGTGTGAGAAAGTTTAGCGCCTTTCAGCGAAGGAGGATTCTTCGTGCACAAAATACATTCCACGAATGTGTGTGTGTGTGTGCACAAGTAACAATAGTTTATGAAGCGAAAGTTTGCATAAAGACCTCGCATCGTTGCCAAAACAATTGTCCACAAAGTCAATTCACCTGTGAAAACACTATAGAAATTCCCTCGACAATCATGCAAGAACATTTGATTATGACTGGTAAACTCGAATAACTTCGCAAAGTATATGGAAGCCGTGCCGTGGAGGTGAGTTTTTGGACACATAGTGTCCCCGCATGAGCTTCACAACAAACACCACAGCATAGGTAGTGCTCCCTGTGCTCCACGAGCGGCTTCCTGTCACTCCGGAATACAACTCTCATATATCTCTCATAGCGGACAATGCGAGTGACATATGAATTTCTACCAATGTGAAGTCACACACACACACACACATTCTATAATTCTGTACACCTCTGAAGCAAATGTTGCTACCTCTTCACGATCCTCTCTAAGCATCATAATCTGCAAAATCCAAATCTAAACACAAAATTTGTAATCAAAACCGTGTCCAGGAAGAGCACAAGTCCGATATCCTTTACTATTCCGCCGTTTTTATAGGCTCGAGTCTTTTACAATCCGGTCTCTCAACCGATTATGGTCTCGAGCGGCGGCTGCCGCCGACTTACATTACTATCTTAGCGAGATAAACGGCAGAAGGAGGAATAACTCCTGAGTGTTTATAGCGCCAGTCAGGTACAGTGTCACTCTTAGAGCGCGATAGACACTTTGGAGGATTCCTCAAAGGAAATCAAGGAATTCGCATGGGAAAATCCATCATTTTGGAAATTGGACAAACACAGGGTGCCTATTTATCTACTCATCATATTTATATAACCTTTTGCACATACATACATTATGATTAACCCAACAAAACGCATTCCTTATGCGCTCATTCGTCTTATTCTTCTGCCAAATTTTCACCCAAAATATGCAAATTCCCCAGCGGGAATGCTAAATGCGATGCTGCATTCCTCATGCTAGATTACACACAGAAAATATGTGAAATTCACATTCATTGCAACAGTAAGAAATGCTGTGTTCACCATACAATAAAATCAACAATATATTTTGCATAATGACTCGACATTTCTCTTCCTGTTGAGGTGAGAGCTTTCACCCCTTCTGGGACCGTCGAGGAGCTTCTGACGGCAGAGCATTAATGCCAAAGGTGGGAGTCTTCTTCTTCGTTCCCGTCTGGAGTCTGAATGTGTCACGGGGTGTTGTACAAGTGAGCTTCATTTGTCAGTGAAGGAGGTGGAAAAATAATCCCCCGGAATTACATAGTTTCCCATTACATTTTCCCCCCGTTTCAATGCTCTCTCTCTCTCTCTCTCTCTCTTCATCTGCACGCGAATGCATTCAATTACTCAAAACTCCTCTTAGGATTCTACCAGAATCAGTTCAGGTGTCATGGTAAAAGAAGATGAAGTATAATTAATTACATTTGAACTGAAAGTGTGCGCGCAACCTTTTCATTATACATGTGAAAAGAGAAAAGAGCTTCTTTTTTATCCAATGAAATCTTTTTTCCACTTTGACTCCTGTCAATTTTGCTCGGAAAAAAAGGAAGAAAAACTTTTTACATTCAACACAAATCAAAAAACGAGCGCGATCCTTTCAAATGATGCGCAGATAGTGAAAAGAAAAGTGAACAACAAAAAGTTATTTCCTGAAAAGCATCATCCGCACTGTGAATCTTGGAAAACTCTCCTGACAGCGGCGAATGGATGTTTTGTATGAAATATTTTGTGGAATTAATCGAACTTCTATGGCCAGCTGTGGCCTCAATTTTGGCCCTTTTCTCGAGACGCTTCTCAGGGAAAGAATTTAACTTCAACTCTGTGCACTCTCACTTCAACAAAACCATCTGCGAACAATAAAGTTTCACATGATTTGACAAACTGTCGATTGAGGCCAGAAACAGAAAAAAAAAATACTTTTTCTCTCTCTGACCACTAGAACCACAATTGATAAGACATTTGCATTTGGAGAGTGTTTTGTGAGCCACACGCGAAAGGCCTTCCGCAGTGTTATCGTGAAGTCGTCCCAGTGTTGTTCGCACACGCGATGAAGGCGGGGGAAGACATCGAGATGGGAGACTGTGTGGGGAGAAGTGCCAAGGGAGCTCCAGATGCCATCGATGGACGAAGGAAGACGGGCGAGTATGCATCGAAGAAGAGTGTTGCCGAAGGCATGATGGATATCGCCCTGCTCACTGCAAATGCCAATCAACTGCGCTTCCTTATCACCTTCAACACCGAATCCCGAACGTTCTACGTCAGTCTGGGTCTCCTGGTGCTCTCTCTCGTCCTCCAGGTCGCCGTCGGAATCGCCTTGATCTTTAAGGTGCCGAGCAAACACCTCTATATAACCATGGCAAATGCCCTAAAATTTAACAAAACTTTAAATTCTGTCAAATGTAATTTAATTCAGTGATGAAATTAAATTTCTTAGGGGAAAGCAGGGTGAATTGAGACACAATTTATATTATTCTAAAAATCTAAACACCACGCATTGCTAACCCAAATAACAACCTGTGGGAAAATATTTATTCTCCTACACAATCAATATGTGAAGTCTCCGAAGAATGCCCCGCTCTCCCCTATGTGGTATTTGCTTTTTTTTCTCATTTTCCAATCCACACTTTGTCTGTCTTTTTTTTGCAGAGGCAAATGAAAATCAAAGGGAGGAAAAATCAAGCGAGTCACATGAATGATTACATAGTGGGTGGTATATTTTTGGTCACCGTAATTAATGTGTTAGCCGCCTCTTTCACCATCACTGAAAAAGCCAATTAAATGCAATACTCTGTGCGTTTTGTGGCGGAAAAAAAAGTTCAAAGGACCTCACGAGAAAAAATGCAGCATTGGCGGAATTTTTACAAGTTAATTCCATCAAATTGACTTTAAATTGCATTCCTAATATATATAGAATTATATATATATATATAATTCCCTTTTCTAGGTAGCATTCTGGCGCCTTCAATTGAACCAATTAAGCGGATTATTGTGCTGAGTGTAAATTAATGATGTCGCGCTATGTTGGCAGAAACTGAAGGCGCGCGCACGTAAATCACCTTTGGGAAATTGGATGTGCTCGGGATTTTCATGATTGTCCAGTCTCGTTGGTTCTTCGGTTGCCTTCAAAATGCCATGAATAGTTAATATTTCACCACACTTTCCTGAACAATAAATACATATATATATATATATACACCAGTGAGAATTTCTCGTTAGCGCTTCATTGTTTCACACCCTCACCAATGTTCCACTCGTTGCCAAACACGCGGTGTTATAAATTTTGGCATTTCGCACTTTCGGCAGAGCTTTTTTTCTCCACTCACCCCTCCGCCCACCGGCGCAATTTTGGCGAAAAATAAAATAGGGGAGACCTTCTTATTTATCAAACTCTCATAGGCAAATTCCGAAACACCTCAATTTGACACTGTTCGTCTGGATAAACCCTCAATTTGTTATCTCCCTGGGTTTGCGATGTTTTGCTGTCTCAACCCATCCCCAAATATAAGGTATATATTTTTTCAAATCAACGCAAATTGGACACTGCTTGAATTGACGCATTTTAGCATAGAAATCACTGAAAATTATGCTGTCAATGCAAGACAGCTTCTTTTTTTCAGATTACAACTAAAACTTAGTGTATATAGTTCTAATTTATTCGCTATATACCCATGAGAAGTTATTCAAATACTCGCTCGTATTCTATAATTCACCTGCATTGGATTCTCAAGAGTTCAGGAACTGCGACAGTCCAATTGAGTGGGTTGTGAAAGCGACCAAAGATGTACAGAATTGCTATCGACTGAGTCGCAATCAGTGGTTCTCTCATGCGGATTTAAGCCAGGATTGCAAAAGATGTTGGGACGATCGAAGACGACACAGAACGCGTTTCTCGAAATTCCCAGATAGATAAATTTCCGCACACAACTCAAGAAGTTGTGTTAAAATGTAAGACAAGACAGCATAAGATTCTGCCGCAGAGGGTGGCACTGGGGATGTTCAGTGCCAGTGAAATTAAGGGGTGAATAAATTAGGGCCACAGGGAATATGGAACAGACACAATATATACACACACATCTCTTCAACGTGCGATAGTTTCACCACAGAAGATGCAGAACCACAAATTGATATGGTTACAATCTCGCAATATTTCACAGCAGATTTTCCCATTGAAATTTATCACTTGAAAAATTTACCCACGCTGCCCATTTATCAGCGGGCATCCTTATCAATTAACTCATCCCCTCGCTCGTCTCTCATACCACACATATTTTACTTGCTATATATATATAGTTTGGGGAAGAATTGTAATTTGCTGTAATGGCAAAAATTAGGCATGATGAGCAATTGTGAAAAATTGTCTTATATAAATTCAACGTCACAGACTCACAAGGTGAAGGTGACTTCCTCTGGTTTTTCCTACCCTCGAGAATTGAGGCAGAGTGCATAACTTTGTAGAACACTTTTATGATGAATTGAACTGATGCGGCAGTGCGATATCACCCATGGGGAATTGCAATATTTCATGCACAATTCCTCATTTGTCATTTATAATTGTTTGGCACCAGAGCCTCTGAAGTCTTTTTCCGCAATGTATGCGCGAGAAAATGTCGAAAAGATTGTGGCAGGGCAAACTAAAAAACCATATCACCTGAGCGAGGAAATTGATTCCAGACGTGAAAACGGTTACGGTTTGCCTGGCACTTTCTTATTACCCGTGAGCGGGTGTGTGTGTGTGAAAAATGAGGGATGAAAGGTGGGTTGAGAGTGTTAAGGGAAGAAAAATTGCCCTTTTTCCTGGGTATCTTCCTGTCTCATTTATTGCTCCTGCACTTTAATATTATTTTTCACTACATCCTCAGCTTCTTTGTGCACTTGTTCGCGCTTGTTTGTAGCATTTGTTATCAGGCTGTCACATATTTTACCATCACTATCTTTCTTTTAACTGGGGAGTTATACCATGTCTCCTCTCTCTCTTGGTGCAGCAATAGAGATGCTTCCCGGAGAATGATTCAAAGTTTATATTTTCCTTCTCCTTTTTCTCTGTGTGTATGTTTTGCTGAACAAAATTGCAAAGTGCTACAATATGCACATTTTAGCATGGTCATTGTTGTTGTTTCAGAGTGTTTTCTCTAGAAATTTAATGCAGGAAAATGCCATTTCAGGGCTTTTCCGGGTATTACAGTGAATGCTCTTAACGATTAGTCTGAGAATTGGCAAATGGCTTGAGGCCAAGACGCATAATTCAGCGCTGACGTGACGTTGAGTACATCTCCTCTCAGACAACGTCTTGAGATATTCCTTAACACAAGAGGTGTATTATGTGTAATATGTACTAAAAAAAATGTTAGAGATGCACATGGAAATCTGTGTGTTACATAGTGTTGAGCAGTGATATTTAATTAAATTTCCAGCACATATTCACAATCCCTACAATTGACAGCGTCAATTGAATATTATGAAGCATTTCACGCCATAATATCGTGCTTTTCCCAAATACAAAGTGCTTATTATGCGCCTCAATTATTTGTGAATAATGGTGTATTTTGATAACGCAGAGATATCGATAAACTATACTAAACATATTGTTTTCAATTCTAAATTCAGGGCTTTAATAGCATAAATTTTGTATATGATAGAAAATATGGGAATGTGACATCTAAAAGTGCGCGCGAAGTTCTCGAAATTGAACATGATATGCTGGCAAATCTCTGCAAAATGCTGCACTACAAAATGACCATAACAATGGGGCGGGTTTTTGTCATGATAAAGGGCATAATCAAGGGGGAGATAGTATGGTGAGAAGTGGTGATTTCAAGAACCTAAAGTGGAAATTGGCTTTAACTGAGCTTTTCCAATTAAATAAACTACAAAAACAATTATAAATTTTACTTCAATTTTGCCCTAAAATTTTGGAAACAGTCTAAAACATTGAAGTACTGGAAGTGTTGTACACCGTTCAGCTATATTATCTCCCCCTTTGGACATCATATTTGTTGGACTTTGTTGGATTCAATCAGTCGCGAGCGCTTTTGTGTTGCGATAGGTGAATAACATATAATTCATGCAAAAAGTAAACTGCATGATAAAATGTAATTAATATATGGATAGTAAATTATTGGAGGGCAAACAAACAGCCGGGAAATGTGATATGGTGGAATTGATGAAAATGCATTAGTGATTTGTAATGACAACGGACTGTTTGCATGCGATTAATGTCAAATGCAGAGCCACAATCGCGGTAAAATGCCGCACAGTATCAATTTCATCATGTTGTGGCTTTGGATATTGTCATTTGGTGGACATTCACGAGGACAAGCAGTTGTACCAATGCTTTTTCCCCGAGAGGGGGTGAAGCGTAAAAGCACACACTCTCTGCGAGAAAGTGAAGGGAAAATCTGCAAGCAATTTATGCAACAACGAGTAAAGCTTCTTAAACTCATGCGGTAAATAATACCATTAATCTCGTCAAGGGAAGAGAGAAAGCACATAAATTTCACATGTGGGAAGCTTTCAATTTGCAGTCGGGGAAAATGTATTTTGGTCAGCGCGGTCACGTGAAGATGATGATGGTGTTGGAATTATGTGCTGGACTAGAGAGAGAGAGAGATGGGAAAAGAAGTGTGTTCGAGGAATTTAATAAAGCCATTCCTTCGTCGCCAGCAATTCATAATTAAATTTCAAATTCAACTGTGCACATGTGTGTGAGATCTTTCTCAATCAATCAAAGGGTTATCTTGACAATTCGCCCCCGATGTCACTGTGGGAGGGAGTTTTCGTGATTTGAATTAATCATGGGCATTAATGTCTTGATGTCAAGGGGAAAGTCACTTGCGATTTTGACCATTCACCTTATCTATATTATTATGATTGAGACTATTATGATTTCTTAAAAAAAAAGCGACTAGTGATTTTCCCCTTGCTTGGATGTCTTGTGATGCTTTTGCTGTAGTGTAAAAATTCATATAATAGCTCCAAAATACAAGACATTTTGTTATGTGATATTGAATTTCTCGTGCACACATTGGTAAATCCATAACACGCGAGAAAAGAGTAATAGAATTTTCAGTTACGGAAACCGTCAAGAATGTTATACGATATATCGCTTCAGCGGCTGCAAATATGTCCGGATATTTTCATATTTTATACTTCAATACATTCTTCACATTCCAATAAATCCATAAACGCTCTCTTTCTCTCTCTCTCACACACACTCTGGGCTGTACTTTCACGCGAGTATTGGAAAGGACTTGTCTGGAATTGATGGAGAATCACCCACTTTGCCATGGGGTTATAAAAGTTTAAAATCTATTTACTGGGCATCAGAATGGCATATGAGAGATTGGCGCGCAAAGTATTATATTTCCTATTCCTCCAGTTTATTTCAAATTCCATACTCTCAAACCATTTGTTTCTCTCCGCGTGTCAAATCAATAATCGAAGAGACAATTTTTGGTATTCACATTCTCATGCCTTATGTTTGCCACCCGCAAAAAAAACCCCCGATAAATATTTCATGCAATATCATTGAATTGTTCACACCAATATAAATTTGCAACTCAAGTGCAAAATGTAAAAAAAAAAATTCACCACTCTTCGTCGCTGCGGATGGCAAAGTTTCTCTCGGTGTGGATATAAAGTTCGTCACATGTGTTTGATATCCAGGGGAGAAAAGCTCAGCAGTTTATATGTTGATATACGAGGAAAATTTCCTCGGTAATCTCGCGCCAGAGAACAAGGCGAGAGATTTAACTAATGTGATTAAATTTAATACTTGATGC